ATTCTAATTATTAGGTATTCCAACATTTATATTATTCATATAGGTTTGAACTGTGAAAGGATACCCTAGATCTCCGGATGTACTTGGTTAATAACAAGCCAAGTTCCTTGCCCGCACAAAAAAGAAAAAAAAAAAGAAAGAGAGAAAAGAGAAAAGAAACACAACAGATAAGGGTTATATTGGTTCTTAACAGTTAATTACTTAAGGCGCATTAACTTCGAGAGGAGCTTGTGACGTGTCAAAAGGTTAGAAATTTTTTCTACTCAACATGTGATATTAGATCCAGGTCTCATTCCATAACAGCTAATGGGCATTGCGGATGGGAGATACAACGACGGAAAATTTACAACGGAATTCCGTTGCTATTGACCTTCTACGGTGGAATTCTACATTAATTGCGACGAAAAATTTTCTTCAAAGGTCCCCTTTTTGCTTGCAGTGGAGGGTTAAGAGTGTCCACTTATGAATGGCAGTAGCTCCTTGGGAGGCTTTACGACTCCCAACACTCTAGTGCACACGTATAGGTTCCTTTTTTTTAAATCACAATCACTTATCATTCAGTCCTTGTGTTTTTGTTAAACAAAAATAATAATTCATGACAATGGGAACTACATGTGATCCAGATGGTTGGGAAATTTTAATATGGTTGTCTTAAGTTTAATTCCCATACAGAAAAATCATGCATGACTAGGGGATAAATCATTCTATTTATCTCAAAGAGGATAATCTTTTCAAATATCATCCGAAATGTTCTAGACTGAAAATCTCTCATCTCTTCTTTGCTGATGATTTGTTTCTTTTTTGCAAAGCTGATTTATACTCCATTGCAAGATTAAAGGAATGCTTATCAGATTTTAGCAGTGTCTCTGGATTAGAAACAAATCCAAATAAGTGTTCTATATACATGAGTGGTATTGATGATGATTTAAAAGCTCAAATCTGTGCTCTCCTTAATTTTTCTAAAGGAGTTCTGCCTGTAAGATACTTGGGTATACCATTAATCTCTAAGAGGCTATCATATATGGATTGTTCTCCATTGATTAACAAAATATCTGCTCAGTTTTAAAGTTGGAAAAAAAAGAAAACCTTATCCTATGCAGGTAGATTATAGCTGATCAAATCTGTCATACTGGGTATTCAACTTTTCTGGACTAGCAACTATGTTCTCCCAATCAAAGTTCTGGAAAAAATTGACAGTCTCTGCTCAGAATTTTCTATGGAATCATAAAATTCATCTGATCTCATGGACTGCAGTTAGTCAAAGCAAAGATAATGGAGGGTTAAGGATCTTCTCTGCTAAAATATGGAATCTTGCAGCAGCTATGAAGCTTCTCTGGATGATACATCTCAAGAAAGATCTGTTGTGGATTAAGTGGATTCATGGACATTATCTGAGGCACTCAAATATATGGCAAGTTCAAATTAAAATGAATGATTCATGGATGTGGAAGCAATTGCTTAAAGTGAGAGATAAAATGATATCTAAGTTTGGTAATGCCTCATTTGTGCAAAATATCATCACCAGGTGCTGCTTTGAAGGTAAAATTCAGATATCTTCTATATACAATAAAATCTCTATTCAAAATACTCCTGTTGTTTGGTCAAGAACAATCTGGGATGGGTGGCTCTATCCTAAGCACTCTTTCATCCTTTGGCTTGCTGTCCAATCTAGATTACTAACAAAAGATAGACTGTGTCACTTGAGAATCATTGACACAAATTTCTGTGTGTTGTGCACATACCAACATCAAGAAACCTGCAGTCATCTTTTCTTTGATTATGAATTTTCAGCTACTATATGGAACAAAGTTATGGATGAAATCCATGTGGAAATCTTGCAGTTGAGATTGTATTACCCAATGGTATAGTATGAGACTGAAGGGGAAAGGGTTCTTGAAGAAGCTGAAAAGATTAGCATTGTCAGTAACAGTCTATGCTATATGGAAAGAAAGGAATCAAAGAATCTTTCAGAATGAATCTAAGGGCCCTAATTTTGTGTTTCGGACAGTGAAGCTTCAAATTCTTTCTAAAATCCTTAATGATGATATTCCTTTTTACATAAAAGAGAGAGTTGAGCGATTGTAAAAATTTACATAGCTGTTTCTTCCAGCTAAAACTGGAATGATTTGATGTACTCAAACTTTCACATTTTGGTAATGAATAAAATTTTTCATTAACCAAAAAAAATCATTCTATTTATAAATGAAAAAATAAACATAAAAAGACATCTCCACTCTTAATAAAAGAGAAGAAAATACAAATTCGAAACTAAATGCCAATGGATTGTTGCCATTATAACTTTGTAGTAAAAGACAATTTGGTTAATGAAGTCAATATTGAATTTGGAGTTGGAGCATACTTTACTTGGAGGGTAGGGCAGAGCCTAGTACGTCCTTATCGCGTTGGATGGATGTAAGTTTAGCTCATATTCGTGTTCTGTCAATGGGCTGTGGTGGTGTTCTCAACCTTTTCACAAATCAAATAGACAAGAGTCTGTTCATTATTGGCAAGAGTCAAGACTAGACTGAAAGAGAAACTCGACGTACAAATCTGAACAAAATGCACGTGTTAGTTGTAGCATTTACTATTGTTAGTACACGACAAAATATTGGTTTTAATTTACCAGCAGTATGTAATATTAGTTTGGACTTGGGTGGAAATGAAAACAATACTTTAAAATTTTTTAATTTGGAACTACTTTCTCTATATAATTTTGAAAGTAAAAGTACCAATGTGGTCTCAAGGTAAAAGTGAAATTGCAATGCAAATAAATTTTGTTCATCGGCAAAGCATGTACATCCTGGCAAGAAACTCGGCCTCTTTATCAAGAAAGTGACATTATAATACGGATCGGGCCTAATCTTGTTCAAATCCTAACTCTTATGCCATTATCAAGAAAGTGACATTATAATACGGTAAACCTACGCCTTTATTTTAGGCTAAATATCATAACCCCTCCCCCCCCACCCCACCCCACCCCTAACTTCGTATGATTATCAGAAACCCCCCTTAACTTTCAAACTATAAAAAACTCTTTTAACTTTGAGTTTTTATCAGAAAAACCCCTCTGAATTTTGGGGGTTTTCCTGATAAAATATCAAAAAATAAAGGGATTTTTTTCATAGAATCCGAAAGTTAAAAGAGGGTTTGTGATAGCCCTCACATTTTTTTGGGGGGAGGGAGGTTCTGATATTTACCACTATTTTTAACTCAAGATTAGGATAATACGATAGACTTATGCCTCTATTTTAAACTCATCAACATGTTACTTAATGGGGATTTAACTTTGTTTATAGCTTCAAAATCATTTTTTATTTTAGTTTCTTCTAATATGATTCTACGATTCATGTATAAGCGATGAGAACATTTAATGATTTGATTCTTAAAAAGGAAAAAAAATAACAACCTATACTATATAATAAACCAGGTGAGGGCGACAAAAAAAATGTAAGTGGGTAAAAATTGTCATTCATTTAAGAAAAGGGCCAATTATGTAAATTTATATAACTAAAATTCCATCATATCAAATCGCTCTCTCTCTCTTATAAAAAGTTGCCAGAAATAATGTTAATTATATCTATACAAACAATGTAAACTTAGAAAATATATATAATTTTGATTGCATGCAATTATATCTATATTATTATATAAATCTATATTATTATATAAATCTATCTATACTACTGTATAATGGCTCAAGTGAGGGCATCAAAGGTTTTGATGACATGGCTTTCTCCGTTCGAATTGTGGAGGTAATTTTGTAACTTTACGAGATGCAAGCATGCATTTTCCTTTCCTTCAACTTTTTCATTCTTCCTCTACCACCTTTTCCTTCTCTCTCCGTCTCACTCAAACAATTAAAATCGTAAAAAGGAACCTTGTATGAAAAAAGTCCTCCAACATAAAGTTTTTTCATTAAAGTCAAACATGGAACTTTTTAGCTATTAGTTTTTACGTGGAGGTCTAGTGTTGTATTTGCTCAGATCATTTTACTTAATGCACCCCCTAACTAATATTTAAAATATTATCTAATTATGTGGAGGAAACTTGGATTTTTCCAAGTGAATTTTTGGGCAAATTGAGCTAAACTTTTTGGTGGAACCCACTGTCCGAAATGGATGGAAGTGAGTTTGAACGCATTCTTCATTCAAAGGCAATGAATTTGGTATACTCACTTGTTCAAATCGGTTTCCGAATGAATGAGATATTCAAGTCGAAAGATGGACCAAAGCTAAAATTTAATATGCGCATCTAATCACGAAGAGTCGCAATTGTTCGGTTGATCTGTGTATGTTCGAACCTGAACAATCACTTCTTTTTATTCCGAATGGATCCGTCCTTTGGTGAAGGGATGTCTTCAAAAGACACCTAGTCCATATAAAAGGAACCCAAAGTCTCATTCCCAAAATACTCAACATTGAATCAAATCCAGTGTGTTTAAGAGAGATCTGAATTATGTGTTCGTTCTTCTTCCATTCGTTTTACTTTCCGGTCAAGTGGTGGAAGGCACAGTTAGATTTGATTCGCTAATATAGCTTTGCAGAAGTGCTTCTCCGAAGCTGTGAATGAGTGTTGTATCTTGAAAGACAACGTCCGATCGTCCTATAAGCACCATAGCAGGGAGCGTAATTTGTCTTAAGGAGATTCGTCACTTGACGTACCTCACTCCAGCAACTCTAGTTCTTTCTCTCTCCTACAAAAGTGCTTCTTCTAAAAGTATTTTTCCTAACAGTTCTTTTCAGGAATATTTCAATTTGATTTCGATTATTGATTTAATACTGAATTATTTTACTACGAAAGTAACAATCTTAAGACAAATTATATTTTTTTTTCATCCGGTTTTATTCAGTAATTATTTCTATTTCTACCAAGATATTGATCACTGATCTTTAATCTCTCTTTATCAAACAGGAGACTAATAATTTTATTTTAATTACTAATTAATTTTGTGTATGTGTAGAAAAATGTCTACCACTCAAGAAAGGGGAAATCAAGGAATAATGACTATTCCAAGTCAGACTGCGGTGTTTGGACCGCTTCCAGTGACGAAGCATGACAAGCCAGAAAAGTTTGGTGGGAAGGACTTCAAGCGTTGGCAGCAAAAGATGTTCTTCTATCTGACCACGCTGAACCTGACCAAATTTCTACAAGAGGAATGTCCAGCACTAGATACCGCCGACAAGAACTGCGTTTTGGCGGTCGATGCATGGAAAAATGGAGACTTCCTTTACCGAAACTATGTCCTGAATGTGTTGGAGGACACATTGTATAATGTGTATAGTCTATTCAAGACGGCTAAGGAACTCTGGGCAAGTCTCGACAAGAAGTACAGAACTGAGGATGCCGGTACGAAGAAGTTCATCATGAGACAATTTCTGGAGTACAAGATGGTGGATGTAAAGGCTATGATCAATCAAGTCCAGGAGATCCAACTCATTATTCACAAGATTGAGGCTGAAGGTATGACCTTGTCTGAATCTTTTCAGGTTGCAGCTATTGTTGAGAAGCTACCTCTTAGATGGAAAGATTTCAAGAAGCACAAGTGTAAGGAGATAAGTTTGGAGGATCTCATAGTCCATCTTTGGATCGAAGAGGACAACCGCTCAGCTGATAAGATGGGTTCCAAGAAGTCCTATGAGGCAAAAGCAAATATGGTTGAAAAATCCAAGGGGAAGGGCTCCAATTCCAAGAATTTCAATGAGAAATCCTTAGGGAACAAGGGCAAGAACCAGGAAGACACAAAACGCTTCAAGGGTACTTGCTTTGTGTGCAACAATCCTGGACATAAGTTGAACGAGTATCACAACCGTCCGAAGAACAAGAACCAGCCACATGCTAATATGACTGACCACATCTCCTCTGATATGGCTGACATGCACCTCTCTTCTGTTGTTTCAGAAGTGAACTTGGCAACCAATTGCAAAGATTGGTGGGTCGATACTCGAGCAACCAAAAACATATGCTCAGACAGAATGTTGTTTGCTGAGTACCAGAAGTTGGAACATAACAATAATATCTTTATGGGAAACACAACATCTTCTAAGGTTGAGGGAAAGGGCAATGTGATTTTAAAGTGGACTTCTAGAAAGGATTTGAATCTGAGCGATGTGCTACATGTTCCAGATATCTGAAAGAACCTGATATCAGGCTCAGTATTGAGTAAGAAGGGCTTCAAAATGGTTTTTGAATCTAACAAATTTGTACTCGCTAAGGGTGGGGTTTATATAGGCAAGGGTTACTTGTTGGATGGCCTTTTTAAGGCAAATGTTGCTGTTGTGGATAAGAAGTCTGTGTACTTGTACCCAGAAATGATTAATAATAAAGAAGGATCTTCTATTTATTTGCTTGGGTCTCTTTCTTTGTGGCATGATAGTCTAGGGCAAGTCAATTATAAGTCCTTAAGTATGCTAAGACGTCGTTTCATTCAATTAAACGTAACATTGAACCTTTAGGGTTGATTCACAATGACCTATGCGACTTGAAGTTTGCGCCTACTAGAGGAAGGAAAAATTATTTCATTACTTTTATCGATGACTACACTAGATACTGTTATGTGGATCTTCTAAGCAGTAAAGACGAGGTGATTGATATGTTCAAGACATAAAAAGTCGAGGTGGAAAATCAACTCACCAAAAAGATTAAGATTCTTAAATCCGATCGAGGAGGAGAATATGAATCGATAGAGCTTGATAAGTTGTGTGCTAACTTTGGCGTCATCCACCAAACTACAGCACCTTATACACCTCAACAAAATGGGATTCCTGAGAGGAAGAACAGAACTTTGAAGGAGATGATCAATGTCATGCTTGTAAGTTCTGGAGCACCATAGAACTTGTAGGGGGAAGCGTTGCTTCCCGCTAATCATATCCTAAATAAGGTACCCCACAAGAAACTCGGTCTTATTTCATTTGAGTTATGGCATGGAAGGCCTCCTTCCTACCATTACCTCAAAATGTGGGGGTGCCTTGCAAAAGTGCCATCACCACTACCTAAGAAGACTAAGTTGGGAATAGAAACTGTAGATTGTGTGTTCATAGGCTATGCGTTGAATAGCAGTGCCTACAGGTTTTTGATACATAAACCAAAGATCCCTGATATTCATGTGAACATGATTATTGAATCAAGGGAAGTTGTGTTCTTTGAAGATAGATTTCCTTATAAGAGGCATAATAGTGAGACTTCTGGGAAAAGAACACATGAAACTGTGTTCAGGGATGAAAGTCTCAATGAACCAACAATCAATGAGGAAGTTGAACCAAGAAGGAGTAAGAGAATGAATATCTCTAAATCTTTTGGTCCAGACTTCGTAGCATATGCACTCGAGAGTGAACCTCAAATGTTCAAATAGGCTATGTCTACACTAGAAGCACAATGTGGAAAGAAGCTGTAAACAGCAAAATCGAGTCCATTCTAAGTAACCATACTTAGGAGTTGGTTGACCTACCACCAAAGAGTAAACCACTCGGGAGTAAGTGGATTTTAAAACAAAAAATAAAATTCGATGGATCGATTGAGAAATACAAGGCTAGGTTGGTAGCAAAGGGATACCGACAAAAGGAAGGACTTGATTACTTCGATACATATTCACCTGTAACAAGGACAACATCCATTGGGATGTTAATTACAATTGTTGCTCTACACAATCTGTAAATACATCAAATGGACGTGAAGATTGTGTTTCTAAATGGTGAATTGAACGAAGAAATTTACATGGAACAACCAGAAGGGTTCCAAGGTAAAAGCCAAGAGCACAAGGTGTGCAGATTGGTTAAGTCCTTATATGGGCTGAAACAAGCTCCAAAACAGTAGCATGAGAAGTTTGATAGTGTCATGATCAATGATGGATTCACTATAAATGAATGTGACAAGTGTGTTTACACTAAGGCAGTTGGAGAGGCATGCGTTATTGTCTATCTATACGTAGATGACATGCTGATTCTTGGGACTAATGATGAAGTCATTAAATCCACCAAACAAATGCTAATCAACAATTTTGATATGAAGGACATGGGTGTTGCAGACGTAATTTTAGGCATTAAAATTAGTAGAACACCGTATGTAATCTTTCTATCTCAGTCACATTACATAGACAAGATGTTATAAACATTCAAAGAATTTGGAATCAAAGGAAACACAAATCCTTTCCTCCCCTCACATTCACCTTCGTAAGAATACAAGAGTTGCAACGAGGCAACGGGAGTATTCACAAATCATCGGGAGTCTAATGTACCTAATGAACTGCACAAGACCAGATATTGTTTACGCTGTAAGTAAATTAAGTAGGTATACTAGTAATCTCGGTAAAGATCATTGGTCTGCCTTACTAAGAGTAGTAAGCTATTTGAAGAGTACCAAGGATTATGCATTGAGATATGGGAAGTATCCAGTTGTACTTGAAGGGTATAGTGATGCTAACTGGATTGCAGATTCTGAGGAATCAAAATCAACTAGTGGATATGTCTTTACTCTCGGAGGTGCGACTGTATCTTGGAAATCCTCGAACCAAACATGCAGACCTCGTTCCACGATGGATTCAGAGTTTACTGCATTAGATAAAGCTAGGGAAGAAGCAGAGTGGCTTCGACAATTCCTCGAGGATATTCAATTATGGCATAGGCATGTGCCCGCAATATGCATTCATTGAGACAACCAAGTAGCGATTAAAAGGGCACAAAATTTTGTGTATAACAGTAAGTCTCGACATATTCATCGCAGACACAACATTGTTAAGCAGCTGCTCTCGAATGACGTTATCTCCATTGACTTTGTGGCATCAAAAGATAACTTAGCGGATCCGTTTGCTAAAGGTTTAAGTGGAGAGCGTATAAGCTGTGCATCGAGGGGAATGAGGCTAAAAGCCTAACCATATTGAGTCGACTTAATAGAAATCCTACTTGGCGATTAGAGATCCCACAGACCAAGTTCAAAGGGAAAAACTGGTTATGATTGACTCGAGGAGTAAGCACTTAGGAACTTGTCTCCATCCATTCCTATATGGTGCACCAAGTGCGGTCTACAAATGGGTTTAGGATAAGCGTAAAGCTTTTAATGATGCCTATAGCTTGTTTTTAAAAACAAGTGAAGTAGAGTAAGCTACTCTTTATAGGACGATCACCTACGTAAGTGTTGAGATGAGGGCCAGCTCTTTGAGAATCTTTATGGAGGTTGTGATTCTCTAAAGACACTTTCTGAAATCAAGAATGTCCACAGCCAAAATAGACATAACCGAGAACCAAAGCTGATTTTGGGAAGTTGATGCGTAAAACCTGTTGACTTAGCTTACATCTACAACTGACAGTTCAAGACCTAGTTTACTAATTGGTCTAGTAAGTCTGATAAGGTTTCACTATGGAAGGTGAAATTACACTAGAGGGAGGGTGAATAGGGTAATCAAACAATAAATATGCAATTAATAAAATTCAATACAATACCAAACACAAATAATAAATATGGCAACAAATAAGAGAGAGTAAGGGAATAGTTAGCAAAATTGCATGCCGATGTGTTCATGAGGTTCGGTCCTCATGACCTACGTCCCCGACCACGTCTCTCGATAGTAATCCACTAAACACACCCAGTTTGAAAGTCGGAACTTCTTCACAATGATCTACCCCAAGATCTCACAACCACACAATTTGATCTCCTCGAGATCAAACTCTCCACACAATAGAATAAGATGAAAAAATCTCTCTTACAACACCACTATGGAAAGGATTAAGGGATTACAAATGAAGCTTGGGGTTATGGGTATTGAAAGTGTAAATCCAAAATTGAGAAGAATGAGAGTTTAAACTCAAAACACACAACAAACACAAACTCAAAGAATTTTTCTTGCTTGCTTGAATACTGAAATGAAGAGGGTCAAAGGATATATATAGGAACCCTAAACAATAGCCCAAATCCCAAACAAATCACAAAATCCCAAAATTTTAGCTAAAACAGAAACTAGCTGTTACGGTGCCATCAGTCGACTGATGGTACCATTTAGTCAACTGATGAGCTGACCGTTGGTGGCCACTCAGACTTTATCGGTCGACTGATGAACTCATCAGTCAACTGATGCACTGCTTCGGTCGACTGATGGTTCATCAATCGACTGAGTAGAAAGTTTTAGTGTTTCTAGGTAGTTTCTTCAGTCGACTAATAACATTATTCAATCGACTGATAACATGAACATGTCCTGTTTAAAAATGAAAATTTGATTTTTGAAGTGTCTTTAAAAATAGCAAATAAATTCTTAAAAAATGTTAAACTTTGGAAAATGTTTATAAACATAAATATAAACATGTGAGAAAAAGGAATTCTTAAAAAATCATTTTCCAAATGTAAAAACTTATCCTTTTTCAAAATTGGTCAAAAACATGATTTTAAAAGTGTGTGTGTGTGTGTGTGTGTGTGTGTGTGTGTGTGTGTGTGTGAACCACATTTGCTTCAAATGTTATCTACTTTGTTTCTTGCCTACATTATGATCTAGAGAGAAAGTAAAAAATACAAATTTCGCTCACATATGTATACAACTCTTGAGGCTCGATATTTACTAATTTTTTGATGAAGCTCCTCTTGTATATGTTGCTCTTTAAATAGCTTTTATTCATAAACTTGCCTCCACCTTCTTGGATATCATCGTTATGGAGCAAATTCCATCCATCCTCTAATAGTGGCACTATATTGCTTAACAAAATATAATCTGCACAATATCACTCAATAAGCAATTAGCACCAATAATGGTGTTTGGAAATCATCATCAAAACAAGAGACCTAACAATCTTTCCCTTTTGATGATGACAAACCACCATTATATAAGAGCATAAATAAAATAAGTACTTATAGATAGTTGCTCCCCCTATCTATAAGGCTCACCCCCTATCTATATGCACAAAGGATTGGAGATTTTTCTCCCCCTTTGTCAACATCAAAATGGGCTAATAAAAAAATGATATACATGTTGTAAAATTCACAAGATACTTCTCTAAGTGTTAGCCTACCCGTGTCATATTCCTCAAGTATTTAAAGTTACGACCTCTCCCTAGACTTTACTACAAACTCACTTCTCTTGGAATTGACCCCGATCTCTCCCAACCACTCCTCTAAGTTTCCTTGTGTGTTCAAACATGTTGTGACAATGAGTGCA